TGCGTGCACTGCCTTGAGTTTCTACTGGAATTCCTTGAAAGGGCAGACACCGACAATGTGAGTTTTGCCACAAGCGAAAGCGTAATCCGTGCCAAGAGTCTGCATGCCTAATTGAGACAGGTGGTTTCGCATTCTTTTTGGACACTTTCGTCCGCGAAAGCATGCGAAGGCGGATTTTTCACTCGAACCACAATAAACGACTTCACATATATCACATATGATCCTATAGATAGCTTTTTCCGGACCCAAACATCTGGGTCCATGCTTAATGTGTGCGCGTTTAGTGCATATGGTATGCATGGATCTCTTATCTAGCTTGAATTTAGTGCTTCCATCAGTGTCATTCAACGAGTACAGACATATGTTTAATTGATGAAATGGTTTTCTAAGTATTTTGAACTATCTGGTTCCTTTAAGTTCGACTCTTGCTGTTCATTAAGACAATGTGCGAAATCCTAAGGGTAGCCATCCTGTGAAAACAATTCGTACAGGTAATTTAGTTTTATTCCATAGCTTTCTTCGTCAGAACAATGTTATTTGCATGCATGAGTCGAGAGGATAAGTCTTAAGAACACACATACCGACGACTTATTTCCATATACAGCTGAGGCATTCTAAAGAAGCGACTATTTGTTTGGATAAAAATGAAGTAGTCTCCAAGATCCCACGTGAGGCCTGCGATACAATGCATTGCAGTCGTACAGGAAAATCCGAATCTACACTTACTCACGGACATCAGTCTTCAGTGGAGATGCAAGATCGTTTTTCTGAAGTATTCATGCATGACCTGGACACGAGGCACACGATCGCTAGTGAAAAAAAACTCAAATTTTCGGTGCCTGGTGTTTCAAGAACGGCTGAGAGTTCCTCCAAACCAAGCACTCGAGGTGGCGTACAAAAGTCTTAAGAAGAAGTCGAACAGACAAGGGCCAGTCAAAACAGAATGACAGACAAGTCGACAGACCACTGGTGCAAACGCCATACAAGCATAGATTATTTTAGTGCAGGTAGAATGTTAAAACCTTCCGACACATTTGCTGTGCGCCTTCCCCGACAATTTACGCAGTAAATTTCTTTGACCAAAGGGCATATATAAAAAAGCGCCTGTCCCACAGAACGTGTAAGTACTTCATTTTCTCCTTCCTCCCACGGTGTTTTTGAACGCCTTTGAAGAGAACTCCGACAGAGTTGAGTTTATATCCAACAAAGTAATTGCTTCGAAAATGGAAGATTCGCATCGTACTAGCTGCCTTACGATAGACCGCTGTCCTTCCCTTCCCATCTTCCAGTTTTGTAACTTGTGCGTCAATGAAGGGCAACTGAATGTTGAATTCTTTCTTCATTGTAAACAGGATGTCGGGAAAGACTAAATTCACCAATGCATTGAAGACCTGCACGCCGCTCCTTTTGATTATGCTTAAAGTGTCCTCGACGTTTTTGGTCCGGAAACTTTGGAAGTAGAAACTGAAAGCCAGCTACTCGGGCCCCTACAAAACTGCCTCGTCATTTAGTCCAGACTAAAGCGGGCCCATCAACATCCCCTTCTTTTGCTCGAAGATCTGACCGTCGAATGCGAAAAGGATCTTAAAACGTAGATCTATGAGTCTGATGATATGCTCTTGTTTAGACCTTTGGACAGTCTAATTAGGCTTTTCGTGGAAACAGTCATGACAATGCAGGTGATTACCTTGATTAAGTTATCCGGTTTGCCATCAAAAGCATTTTTTGCATTCAAGCAATGTTGAATTAACTTTGACGGCAAGCAGTGCACACCGATCCTGCTCTAAAGCATGGCGGGTTTCGATTAGTTAACGTTTTGCGGTGTATGTAAAATACAATCCCGCAACCCAACAGCATTTGCGCAGGAGTGGTCACCAGTTCTCGAAAACAACATCAGTCAAAGCTATGCGCCCGAACCCGCGTTGCATTTCTTCCTCCTATATTCTAACCTACGTCCAGAATGAGCAGTTTCGTGGTAGAAATTTCAGTTATGTTGGTTTCTGAAGCAAAGATATACACTTAGAATCGGCAGCGACGCAGTATGCGACCGGAAAAGTACTGGGAAGCAGCCGACATATGTACTGAGATCAACAACCGGAAGTAAACAACACTACTTTTACAAAATGAGTAGTTCGTTACGTGTATTTTTGTGAGAGTGGGATCATTCTGTGTCCTTACCTAGGAACCCTTTTTGTAAAGATGGGCTATTGTTACTTTAGATGTGTTAGGACTGTCTGCCTTTGAATGACTGCTTTCAGATTGCCTATCCTTCAATGAATGATGGAGCATTATGGTTGGACAGGAAATATGTATGTACTCTTCGCATTACTTCTGGCTCTGCGCCAAACTTTGGACGGAGGGATTGGGGGTGGTACCTATTTCCGTACCCTCAGTTTGGCCCTAACACTAGCCTAACCCAAGCCTTCCTATCATTAACTCAAACCTGCCTATCCCTAGCGCTAGCACCTCCTGGAATTTAGCGTCTTTGATATGGAGGGTACTCATCCACGTGCCCTACCGGCATTATCACCGGAAGGAAATTCAATAGCGACTCACACCGTGCTTTCCACCTCCTGGAGTTAAGTGCCTTTGCTACGGAGGGTACTAATCTTTCTGTCCTACCAGCGATATTGGCGGAAGGAAAGTCAGTATCTACTCACACCGTGCTTCCCCTAATGCTTCGAATGTCATCTAGTATGATAATGGCTCCCCGTCGTCTGTCCAGGTTAGACGTATTCCATACTCGCTTGTCCCATACTTTTCCAACTATCGGCAACAAACAGACAGTTCGCTGGTCACATTCTCCCCTCGCTTCTCATTTGATGCAGACGAAGTATTCCTACCCGGCAGCGTGTTATTTACGTCATGACTGCGGCTTCATTTTCACTAATCAAAATTTGCAATCTACTGCTCTAGGACATTTTCACACATTTTAGAGATGTTCTGCTCAGGTGTAACTATGTAGCCCCGCCTGAAGTAAACAGAACCCATTCACCTCTGCTTCGGGCAGGTATTAATTGGGGTTTTTACATGTGGGGTCGGAGAACGCGCAGGCGACGAGATCGGCTATTTGTATGCAAATGAAAAGACATTGGGAATGCGCGGTTGTAATTTGAGTGGTCTAGAAACCCTAACCGCTAACCCTGACTCCAAACCCCAATCCCCCATCCCTAGCCCCTGAGCCTAACCCCTGATCATAGCTATTAGACCCTGACCCTAGCCTCTTACCTAACTCCTTAACAAAACCCCTTATCCTAACCCCTAACCCCAACACAAACATTATTGTGTCCATCAAGCATGGCAGCCTTTCGATTAGTTAACAACTTGTATAATACAACCACATATTACCCCTCTTCCTTTAAGACTCGACCACTTAATTTGGTCGGTGAAAAAACAGACTCGATTCATCAGCGGGGCCTCCGGCGTTCCCCATGTACTTTCTGGGATATACTGCAATTCTGAAACTTCCAATTCTAATCTTCTCAGGAAGCAATGCATTAAGGTCATTTAAAGTTGATCTTACGTAATAAATACTTTGATTAATTTTGATTTCCGTGCAATTCCAGACTACGTCAATGTCTTCACAAAGAACATTCAGCCCACTGCGCTGGTGAACTTTCATAAGAAGTACGACTTTAAAGTTGATTCCTTTGGAGAATCCTATGATTACTATTCAATTATGCAGTACACGTCAAATGCATATGCCAAATCAGGCGAGAATAAAACCAGAAGGGTTCTGGCGTGCCGTCCACGTCCACAACTTGGTGAACGAGTGTAGATCAGTGAGGGTGACATACGGCAGGTGAACAAGCTATACCAATGCCCTTGTGAGTTGCATTATTTACGTCGCATTTACTGCGATCTTTATAAGAAACCCACTGTCTATTCAAGTGGCTTTACTTAAGAAACAGGTTATTTCGATTGTCACTTTTATTATTTGCTTAGCCGGCGAACTATGCTTGTTGCTTTCCGATGTTTCGAATCAGTACTTTCAAGACGGCAGGACTTGGACAATAATTTTAGGGTGTGTGAATCGCATTTGTGTTGGAAGTATATAGGTGCAGGAGGGGATTTTGAGAGATGCAGCATAGTGTTTCCGTGCATTCTGTACTGTTTCGTTATTATATTTTGTTGCGTGTCTATGCATCACTCTGCATCCAAATTCGTCGGCACACGGCGCAGACTGAGGTAGCCGGCGCAATTTAAAATAGACTAATGAAGAGCAGTCACATTTTGAAGAATCCGGCTTGCATTCGCGATCGTCAAGAGTACGTGACATGTCTACAGCCCGTCAAGACGGTCCACACACAACCTGGTTCCCAATCAAAATATACTAAGTCAAATTGAATGCCATTGGGATTTCATACACGTACCTAGGAATGTTACGAAAACCGCTCTTAGAACAAACCACTTCATCCTGATTTTCACCTCCTGAAAAGGCCCGAGTTACCTTCAAATCGACGAGTGATGACGCATCCCGGTAGATTCAATCGCGTCAGATTCAACACTAGTGACCAAAGGGTCGACGTCTCGTCGTGACACTGGACGTTCCAGTGTCGGACTTCCATGCGCCAGACGACTGTCCTTGCCTGTCATCAGACCGTAAAAGTGATTTAGCGCTGTGGCTGACAAGGCGGCGCCGCTTGTGCGACGTCCGAGTTAATTCCCACTTCACGTACCATTCTGCACCTAAAAGACATGTGTCACACTAGAGTGAGAGCAGACATACGACGTTCCGCCCACCACAACGACCAAGATAAAAGAGTTCGCGTGTTTGCTTCAGAAGAACTGCAGAGGGTTACTAGGGGTTGTTGGGTATCTGTTGAAAACTAGGTTTATAGGTAGCCTTGTGGTGTGTCCTCATGTAAGAGGAGGCGTTGTGATGGGTCTAAACTGAAGCTTTTCATGGAGGTCCACAAGGTCTGAGAGATGAATGCAATGTCTGAATATCTTGAAACAGTGCGAGCAGGTGTGGCGTGTGTGCCGGATGTGCGTCGGGGCTACTCCTGCTGCTGCTGCTGCTGCTGGTGCTGCTGCTGCTGCTGCTGCTTCCAGGATCTGAGTACAATGGATTCGCAAGGGACCCGCCGGTTCGTTGCGCGAATCAAGTGCGCAGTGGCAGCAAGGACACTGTGGGGTAGCGTACACTGAACGGACGATGGTGGCGACGTTGGTTGTGATTGCATTACGACCATGCAACGGAAGAAGCGGAGTTTCTTCTTCGGAAATTGCAGGTCATCGGCCGAGCAAATCGGCAGAGAACCAAAATGGTGATTGAAGGTTAGTCCCCTAATTTCATGATCAGTCAAGTCAGTATCTTAAATGCGGCCTACCGTGTGTCTTGCACAATACCTTGATCAGTCCGCATATGACCAATGACAAAATCGTGAGGAGCCAGGTGAGTATACCTGCCGGTGCCCACGAAGAACTGACCAGGAACCAGATGGTGTTAACGTGACTGGTATGCGGCACATGGCCATTGGACGTGCCCAAAATGCCTACAGCAAGTTAAACATGCAGTCAAAGCTGATCAGTACATCGGACGATCAGGCGCGGGCCAACAGACACATTGACTGCTTCTGAGGAGAATGAATTGCTCACCGGATCGGGGGACTTTTCTGGCTGACGTTTCGAAGAGCTGGGGCTGCTCTCCATTGTCAAAGCGTCAAGTGAAAAAATCGATCAGCACTTTTTTGAATAGACTGCCGCATTAATTGGCCTTGGGCCGATCGATTTTTTTCCTTCTTTCGCTGTCTTGGCCTACTGGACGTCGCCTGTTGTTGGCCTCCTGTGTTACGTGTCGTCACCTCAATTGGGGTTGGTTGCGTTTGCGTTCCCCTTTTTGATAAAGTGGTCGACAGGCCGTGTTTGCTCGGCATTCTTAGGCTCCGTATGATTGTCTTGTCTTCGTCACGGTGTATGTAATGACGTAGGACTTTATAGGCTGAAGGAAGGTCTAGATGCCTGTTGACAGCTTCATCTAAAACAACGAAAATGTTGCATCTCCGGCGAGCTCTGAGTTGTAACAATGAAGTTGTGAAAACTTACCACCAATGATCGGGCAGGTCAGAGTTCATGCCTCGGACACAGTTGTTATGTGATTAAGTTGGGGTTACTGAGGAAGATACAGCCGGAAAGGAAAAACATATCGCCACTCTGATGAAAGAAATGAGGAAGGTTACATAAGTCCAGGAATATACCTCCGCATCCTCCTTTTCTGCGAGGAAACATGCTCGAATGAATAAATCATAATCAAATTCATTTTTGGTGGTCTGGAGTTCGAGCCGGAGTTCACTGTTAACTGAAAGTCAAGCAGTCTACCGCCCTAGCATTCAGCCAGGATCCCAAGGTCCCATCGACGGCTGGGACTATGCGATTCAAGTTGATTGATTGCTCTCAAAGATAACCAGAGTCAACTGTGTGCCCTAACCCCTGCGTCTTGCATTTGCGATCAACAATACGATTTAAATTAAATGGTGGACTAACGAATTGCCGACACATCCATTTTAACCAAAAATTGATATTTAGGTATCTGCTGATGGAACATATTCCCTGACGCCTTTTATATTCATAAGATGACGGCGCATCCACAGTGTCTCTGTGAGTACTTGGATGTCTTTGACGGTCCTTCGGGGTATACAGCGTCGCGGGTTACATTTCCCGCCAACCATTTGGTCCAGGAATAACACGATGACTGTGGGATTTGTTGTCAACAGGACAATTTTTCGAAGCCGATTTCCAAAAACGTAAGCGTTGGGGCTTTACACCAAACGCAAATGCTACCGTGCATGCGCTACACTGACAATGTCATCCTTTAACACGATCATTGATTGTATCTGTGCACGCAAGTGTTTACTCCATGCATGTGTATATTGAGTCATTATGTGCATAAGGTAGTAGGCCGTTTGCCATTCACACACGAATATCGTCTTCTTCAAAATAGATAGCCAGGAACAGTGCCTGCCGGAATTCACTCATTCAAAATTGAAGCTGCGACACTTTGCTGTCCAACTGACTTCGAAAACAAACGTCATTTGGGTCCACAAATCACCCTCTACATTGTTCGATTTATGCGCGCAGTGTACAGTAGATGTGCTAACTCATGAAATGTAAGTTAGAATTACGAAATGCGTTCTCGCTTCGAAAAGATAAATTAAATTGTGTTGTAAAACTAATCACGATGCAGCATAAATGCATAATGATCCAGTTAGCTAAGGGTGCCGGATTTCGAAGTAACTTATCATCGGCTGCATGCAAGATCTATATTTTGCAACTTAAAAAACTATTCTAATTCCCGAATAATTTTTAACCCGACCTGCTGTTACGCTTAAATCCGGGTTTCAAAACTACAAGCTGTATATTTTCCGTGTACGGAAAACCATGCATTTCTCTACGGTGTTAAGAGGAGAACATATGAGGTTCATAAAATTAAACAGTGGATTTGAACAAAATTTATAACTTTACAAGCCACACTCGTAAATGCAGATGCATGACGTTTCATGAACGGCCATTTAACGGTATAAAAAATCTCACAATTAGAAACTTTTTAAAACCTAATTATACTCTTCTTTTGAGTATGAAATTGGAAGAAAACGTGATTTTCTACCAAATAATTAAAAGAATGAATATTTTTATGCATGTTTTCCATGAAATATAATCGAATTTTCAAGGGCGTCGAAAATCAACGAGAAAATTGCATGCTACGTAAGTAGTCATTTTTTGCAAAATATAGATCTTGCATGCAGCCGAAGTTAAGTTCCTTCGAAAGCCGGCACCCTTAGGTAACTGGATCATTATACATTAATGCTGCATCATTATTAGTTTTACAACACTACTTAATGTATCTTTTCGAAACGAGAACGCATTTCGAAATTTTGGTTGACATTTCATGAGTTAGCACATCTACTGTATGTGAAAAAGTAGTTCTCTTACAAACTCTCATTTTTACTTGCACCAGAAGAAAGCGGCCAAATATGCGTCTACGTGCTGAGACATCAAAAAGCCCACATTTGGCCAGTTATACACTTATGCGTTCGGGGTTGCAATACTTCGAAGTGCATCCTTATTAGTTGCCACATTGCCAGTACCGAGGCTACTGGCTTGTTTCCCTTCAAACACTCAATGAATTATAGTTCTGTGCTAAGATGCTTAAGAGTGCTGCATTGAAAGCAATCACATCAGAACAGGTAACAAATTCTGTTAACGAAAGTGTCAGATGTGGTTACGCAGCCGCATCTGCAATACGGAACAGGTAATAATAGTGCTTTTTACAGGTGGGGATGGAGAGTTCACAGGCGACCAGGCCAAGTAATTGTGGTTGGGAAATAGTTGCCCCAACCCCTAACCGTAAACCCTAACAGTATTGTGTGTGTCAGGCGCGACTGCATAACCACATGTTGCCAACGAATACTTCCTGAAATCTACTCGTCGAGCAGTGCATAGTGAGTTCCTTAGTCTTTAGGTTTCTCAAATCCATTTTGCTCGATAGGCTTAATTCCCTGCTGATGCCAAAACACGACGCCCGGTTGCAAACAAATGCGCGTGTTAACACGCCCGAAGGCCACGAATGCCTGTGCTACGATGTGTACAAGCATTTTGTGGACAAAAAACATGTTACATGAGCTGTCTCTTCTTCGCAAAAACGTGATTCTCACTAATACACATCATGTTTCCACTTGCCGTGCTTATGGACGATTAGCGCAGCAGCAATTGTCACATTTGCCTAGGAGATATTCTGGTGGTTAGCGGTCCTCCATAACTAACGTTAACGTAATTTAGAAGTATCAACCGTCTCCCACCGTGTAGACTGACAGACAGCCGAGCGGGTTAGGCAACTTGCATTGGATGATCTAAACGACGCAGAAGTTTGATCGGAATCCAGAGCCGTTTCAGCGTCGCATGAGCTACCAACCAGCATGGATAGTTGGAGTTACAAATGCCCGATTTTTCAGACTGATTTGTTGTATTTTCTTGTATAAGCTTACTGTGGAGGAAACCTGAAAGGCGAACAAGGGGACTTTACCAGCCCTGGATATCCGAGTCAATATCCGACAGAATTCAAATTCGTTTGGAAGATCGGAGTTCCGGTCGAATTCTCCAACTGAAGGACCTTTTTTAACTCATGCAAAAGTGCAACGTCCAACTGGACACTCTGAGTCCACTTACTTCGGAATATGGTTCAGGTCACATTTAACGCCAGATGCCGTCTGTCAGTAGCAGAGAGTCTACACGAATGCTTACGTTGTTTACCTTGTTTACTGCTGTTTCGGAGAACGGTGACACTTTTATACTGGTTGTTGAAAATATTCAAATGTAAGGAATTTCCGTTAATCGAAACAACTCACTGTAATTAGTTATCAGTCAGTCATCCTCTGTCAAACCAGGTTCGAATTTCGTGAAGTGACAGGATGCACCGAGAAATCTCTCTCAGCTGTAAGATTACGTATCTGCGTAGGACTCACGCCTACTTTCAAGCATTCGAAAAAGAAAGGGTAAGTATTTCTGCCAACCTTAAATAATAAGCGCTACCTCATGTGTGTTTTCCATCCGTTATCATGTTACAATTGTGTAGATTTTAGTTTTCGATCTTTACGCAGGACAGTCTTGTCAGTAATTATGCGTCATTTTGAGTGGCGAGTTTGCTAAGCATTTAACTTGGTTGGGTTGAACGCACCCTGCCATTGAAAAATGCAAAACGTATGTAGGAATGCAGATATTGTCTGCGAAGTAGTACATTTCCGCATACTCTAGGCTCACAAATTCATTAAAACAGAGCATTTAGACGATACTTGCTATCCGGTGTGCTTTTATACTTATGCATCGCTGAGGTTAATAACATAAGTTTTATTTATTTGGCTTGCTCTAAACTACCAATATACAAACAGACGCTCTCTTACTATCTTTCGGTAGCATTTGAGGAAAACGTGCCTATATGCGTTATGATACCTGCGATAACCGTGTTGAGCCTTTTTGAATTTGAACGTAATTTGATGCTGGCAACACGCTCGCGTGTTTCCTGAACTCAAGACCTAGGTGCAATAAATCAAATGTTGACTGATTTCTTACCGTTGCTGTAGGATGGCCGGGAACAGTACACTTGAATTGGTAAGTTAGGTTAAGCTCAGTGTCAGGATTAAGGTCAGGACACGGAAATAGATTTTCGGCGAATCACAGTTCCCGAATAATTTTGAACCCGACTTGCTGTTACACTCGCATTCAGGGTTTAAAAACTACAAGCTGTATATTTTCCGTGTACGGAAAACCATGCATTTCTCTACAGTTTCCGAATAATTGTGAACCCGACTTGCTGTTACACTCGCATTCAGGGTTTCAAAACTACAAGCTGTATATTTTCCGTGTACGGAAAACCATGCAATTCTCTACGGTTTTAACAGGAGACGATATGAGGTTCATAAAATTAAGCAGTGGATTTGAGCAATATTGTTAACTTTACAAGTCACACTCGTAAATGCAGATACATGACGTTTCATGAACGGCCATTTAACGGTATTAAAAAATCTCACAATTAGAAACATTTTGAACACCGAATTATACTCTTCTTTTGAGTATGAAATTGGAAGAAGACGTGATTTTCTACCGAATAAGTAAAAGAATGAATATTTTTATATATGTTTTCTATGAAGCATAATTGAATT